TTATAAGTATAATAGGCATACATACTTTAGGGTACAAATATAAATGGACCCTTGTAAGCATATAACTCAGTTAGTTTGCAGAGGAAGTATACAGGTATCGTATAGATAACCATTAGCTTCTCACGCTTAGAGTGCCTTTGTGTTACGTAAATATGGTATTAGTTTATTTTAGTTTTGATTTTGAAAAAATCTCAGACTTACCAAAGAATGAATAGGAAGAATGCTTTTAAATCTCTTATCCAGATTCACTAACTAATAACACTTTTCTAATGCTGACCTCAACTCCTAAATGAGTTTCATGACAGTGTGAATAAAACCAAAATAGTTCAGCCCTTTTTTTGTCGCTAAGCAGATGAAGAAACAAAATTCCAGAAAGTTTATATGGTTTGTTAACATTTTTTTAAGTTTGCTTTTTTACTTCTCTCTAAATATATAACTCCCCCCAGTATGCATTATTTGAGAATTAATTATAGATGTCATACCTCTTTGCCCCTAAATATTTCAGTAGGTATCTCCTGAGAACAAGAACATTCTCTTCATAACTATAATTCACTTGTCAAATTCAGAAGATTTAACATTAATACAATACTATTTTCTGTTAAAACATTCATATCAGTTTGCCACCGTTCTCAGTTATGTCCTTTGTGATGTAAGTATAGTCCACAGAGAGAATGGAGAGTAATGAGTAACAAAGCAAATGGAATTTAGTTTTTAAACATAAGTTCAACTATACTTATTTTTATTTTTAATATATATAATAATGTGGGACTGCCTTGATGCCTTCCTCATGAAAGTTTAGATGTGACATTATAAGATGGACTCAGAGAGATGCTTTGTTTATCTTCTAAGTATTCTTATTTATTGATGTAGTGACACGTTACAAGAATTTTATCTCAGAGAAATTACCTCCCACAAAGATGGCAACATTAGAAGAACCTGCATAGTAATTTGCTTTAATTGTGTTATGAAGTTATTTTACCACTTCTCTGAAAGTTCAAAATTGTTATTATTTATTTTCTTGGTTACCTGCCTGTTTTCTTAAGAACTATGCTTAATGATTAGCATATGTTTCTGCACAACTCTTCTCTGATATCAAGTGTCATTTTCTTCATTTTATCATTTGGACCTCAAGGTTCTGAGATGACATGTGATTTGTCCACCGTTAGAGAACGGTACAATTGCGAACACTAGAAAATATTGCAAAGCAATAAGCTTAAATTGAGATAAATATTTTCTCTAAATGAATCACATGCTTTGACCTTAAAATAAAGATGAGGTAGTTTTTTCTTAAAGCTTCACATAGGTAGAATCCATCAAGCATAATATCTTGTTTTCAAGAGGCTTTAGTCTGCTCAAGGTAAAATACAACTTTAATTTCTTGCTGAAGATGGTAATATTAATCTTGGGTGAAGACTATACTTTCAGGGATAATTTCTATAGTTTGTAAATCTTGGGTGCTATATCAAAGTGAATCAGTTTGTCCACCAGATAAGTGTGGCAGGTGTTCTGTTAAAGTCTGGGGATAAAAAAATGGTAAACAGTGTTTATTGTCATCTAAAAACTTACAATCTTGCAAAGAAAAGCAAGACTAAGAACTATAGCCAGGTGCCATAGAACGTTTCAGTCAATGAAGGACCGTGTATATATATAAGATTATAATTGATCTGAAAAATTTCACCTAGCAATGTTGTCGCTGTTGTAGTGCAATGCATTACTCATGAGTTTGTGGCGATGTTGGTGTGAACAAACCTGCACTACCAATTTTATAAAAGTATAGCATACACAATTATATACAGTCTGTGATACTTGATGATAAACTCTCAACGGTTTGTGTATTTATTATACCAGACTTTTTATCATTATTTTAGAGTGTATTCCTTCTACTTATACAAAAAGCTAACTGTAAAACAGCCTCAGGCAGGTCCTTTGGGAAGTATTCCAGAAGAAAACTTTGTTAAATTAGTGTGTGTTGAAATAATGTGTGTTATTGCCCTTGAAGACCTTCTAGTAGGACAAAATGTGGAGGAAAACAGCAATATTGGTGATCCTGACCGTGTAGACCTAGACTAGTGGGTGTGGTTGTGCCTCAGTTATTAACAAAGTTTAAAAAGTAAAAATATATACAATAAAAAATTATAAAAATAGTAAAAAATCGTCCAGGTATGGTGGTTCACACCTGTAATCCCAGCACTTTGGGAGGCCAAGGCAGGTGGGTTGCTTGAGCCCAGGAATTTGAGACTAGCCTGGGAAGCATGGTGAGACCTGATCTCTACAAAATAATTTAAAAATTAACTAGGCATGGTGGCACACACCTGTAGTCTCAGCTACTCAGGAGGCTGAGGTAGGAGGATTGCTGGATCCTGGGGGGTTGAATCTGGGCCCTGATTATACTGCTACTCTCTAGCCTGGGTGGCAGAGGGAGACTCTGTCTCAAAATTTAAAAAAAAATTTAAAAATAGTAAAAGCTTATAGAGTGAAAATACAAAATATTTTTGTACAGCTATACAATGTATTTGTGTTTGAAGCTAAGTGTTAGGAGTCAAAAAGTTTAAAAGTTTATAGAGTCAAAAAATTACTGTAAGCTAAGGTTAATTAATTGAAGAAAAAAGTTTTTAAAGTGCAGCCTAATTGTACAGTCATGTCCTTCCTAGGTCTTCACGTTTACTCACCAGTCACTCACTGACTTGCCCAGGGCAACTTGCAGTCCTGCAAACTTGATTTATGAAGTGCCCTATACAAGAATATAATCTTTAAATCTTTTATGCCATATTTTTATTGTGCCTTCTCTATGTGTATCTAAACAAATACTTATCATTATTTACAACTGCCTACAATATTCAGTACAGTAATATGCTAGACAGGCTTGTAGCCTAGGAGCAATAGGCTATACCATATAGCCCAAGTGTGTAGTAGGCTATACCATCTAGGCTTGTGTACGTACACTCTGATGTTTGCATAAGGACTAAATCACCTGACAACCCATTTCACAACATATATGCCTGTCATCAAGTGACACATGGCTGTATTGAAAATTGAAGTAAATTACAGAGTCAAGTGAACAATATACATATATATATACACACATGTACACAAGTACATGAATACCTTAGCAAATAAAATTGTCTAAGGTGATCTGTAATATTAAATTGTTGTTTAACAATAAATTAAGATCACAAATGGAAACAAATAGCAATGCTGCTATACCTGGGGCACAGCAACAGGAGGAAGCCATGACTATTCATAGGAATAAACAGTCACAAGAAAGTTCAATAGAACAAGGCAAGAGCCATGGCTGTAGAAGATGGGCTGCGCAGCAGAGGAATGCAGACATTGCTAACCCGGCCCTGACCTATTTCTCTTCCCAGAAATCTGACCTCCAGCTTTATCCATGTTGTTACAAATGGCAAATGACAGGATTCCATTCTTTTTTTTTTTTAGACAGTTTCACTCTTTTGCCCATGCTGGAGTGCAATGGTATGATCTCGGCTCACTGCAACCTTCCCCCACCGGCCCCACCCCCCCGACTTCAAGCAATTCTTCTGGCTCAGCCTCCCAATAGCTGGGACTACAGGCATCAACCACCATGCCTGGCTAATTTTGTATATCAAAATTTTGTATTTCATCATGTTGGCCAGGCTGGTCTCAAACTCCTAACCTCAGGTGATTTGCCCGCCTTGGCCTCCCAAAGTGCTTGGACTATAGGCATCTGCCACCATGCCTGGCTAATTTTGTATTTTTAGTAGAGATGGGGTTTCACCATGTTGGGCAGGCTGGTCTCTAACTCCCGAGTGCAAGTGATTCGCCCACCTTGGCTTCCCAAAATGCTGGGATTACAGGTGTGAGCCATTGCACCCAGCCAATGTCATTCTTCATAATGGCTGAAAAGTTATTTCTTTATTTTCTTTTCTTTTAGAAATGAACATGCTTTAACATTTTACTCATGAGTCATGGCTCACATGTACAGCAAGAGAGGGTCTGGTGAATAGGGAAATTCCCAGAATAGGATGAACACGAAAAGGACCACAGTGATGAAGTACAGGCAGCACACTCAGTCTCAGAACAGTCACCAGCCACCAAGGAATTAACTGATCATCTCAATGGGGCTGAAAACAATCCAGTGAGTCCCCAGAGGCTCCTGCTCATTGACACTTTCACAGTAGATAACAGTAGATGATGTGCGGAAAAATAGCTAAAAATGGAGGCCCAAAATAACTAGCCATTGTGCGTAATGTAAGAGAGACCCATTTGGAGATATCTGTACCAGTGAAAACCAAACAATGTGGTTGAGAGTTATGAGGATGATAACTTTTAGGTCTGGAGACCCAGTCTATCCCACTCAATGTAGGAGCTGTGAAGCAGGGGAGATTCCATGTTAAGAGGAGAATAGCCAAGCTTCTATTTCTACCTTGCCCAATTGGGAAGGCTGTACAAATCGGGGCTAATCATCCCTGGCCTCGCCCTGAGAAACGTGGGCAGCAGCTTCAGGTGGCCACAGAGGATGCAGGCAGCTTTCTTAAAAGACTTCTTCATACTTGATAAGCAGTGCTGGGCAATAACAGCAGTACCAAAATTACTTCATTCTGTCTTTTCTGCATGTAAATTGATTTGTTCCTCTCTACTGTTCTGAAGAGCCCAGCACAGGTGATACAGCATACCTACTCAGCTACAGATTTCCAGTTTTTGTTTCTGTTTATTATTGTTTTGGTATTTTCCTGCAAAATTCTAAAAATATGCTTAAAACTTCCTTCAGGACTCACAATTTCAAAAAAATCAAATTTTTAGTTTATTACAAAATCATTCTACTTGTCTTTGCTACCCAACTCTTATTGTCTCATTATTATTTTCAGTTTGTCTAGTGGTTATGTTTGTAACTTTTGAAGTGCTTTCTCAAGCTCTATTTCTGGATCTATCATGTTTATGTATTTATGTTCTTAATATTCACAAGGTCTCATAACAATTGGAATCCTTGGGCCAGGCATGGTGGCTCACGCCTGTAATCCAAGCACTTTGGAGGCCAAGGCAGGCGGATCACCTGAGGTCGGGAGTTCAAGACCAGCCTGACCAACATGGTGAAACTTCGTCTTAAAAAAAAAAAAAATTGGAATCCTTATGTGTTTCTTACATAATCCACTCCCAAATTCTGTCAACTCTAACTCCGTGTGTGTGTGTGTGTGTGTGTGAGTGAGATGGAGTCTCCCTGTCTTGTCCAGGATGGAGTACAGTGGCACGATCTCCACTCACTGCAACCTCTGCCTCGTGGGTTCAAGCAATTCTCCTGCCTCAGCCTCCAAGTAGCTGGAACTACAGGTGCCTGCCGCTGTTCCCAGCTAATTTTTGTATTTTTTAGTAGAGACGGGGTTTTGCCATGTTGGCCAGGCTGGTCTTAAGCTCTTCGCCTCAGGTTATCCACCTGTCTTGGTCTCCCAAAGTGCTGGGATTACAGGCATGAGCCACCACACCTGGCCAACTCTAACATTATTTTTAAATGGCTAATTTTCATAGAGTTTAAATGGTTTTCTATGACTGTAATTAAGTTGTCCATACTTTGTTTCTATGTTGATTTAATCATATTTTTGCTATTAATATTGTGTAAATTTCTTTCTCCATAGATCCAAGACATACACGTAAATGAATACAATGAATAAAAATAACACCTGGGAAGTTTCAAGGTAATGTTTTTGCATATCATTTTTTTAAATAAAAACAAATTTTTTTTTGAGACAGCGTCTCTCTCTGTCGCCCAGGTTGAGTGCAGTGGTGTGATCATGACTCACCGTATCCTCAACCTCCTGCACTCAAGTGATCCTGCCATCTTGGCCTCCCAAAGTGCTGGGATTACAGGTGTGAGCCACCATTCCTGGCCAAGTGTCATTTTTTAATGTTTATAATCTCATATATTCTCAAAGTAATGTTCATCGTAATTAACTTTATGCTTAGCCATTGTTTTATTGCACAGATTTATAGTTTTTTTTTTAGAATTTGTAATTGCCTTTTTAAATTTGTTGTTGTTATAACTAACATACAATTTCTTTTTAACATTTTTAAAACTTTTTTCTCTTAAATTTTTTTTGTACTCTTTTTTCTTTTTCTTTAGGGAAACTGTTATTAATAACATACAATTTCATCTCACTAACATTGCTAATAATTGGTTCTCAAGTTTCTTAATCATTGCCTTTCATCTACTAAAGCCACTTCTATTTTTTTGAAAGGGAAAGCTCTCTTTCAGGACTTCTTGAAATTCTTTTGTAACTTGAATCAGGTACTATTTATTTCTGCTAAAAATCTGTCAAAGTATTTCTCTTTACTGGACTGCTGGACTAGGGCCATAATGGTATTTATGACCTTCTCTAAAATGATTACTGCTACTTTAAGTCAGGTTTTAAAGTTCACAGATCATAGTGTATTTTTTTAAAGAGCATTGGGAGTTATTTATTTCCAAGATTTCATGATGCAGACATTCTGTGGTCAGCAAATGGTCTCAAAGAAAGTCTACTGTATATATCTGACTTGGAAGGAAAAACAGTGATAGGAGACTGAAGTCTTTGGCTTCCTCATTTAGGCCATGCACGTCAGTGCTTCTGTCCCCTCCTTGGCCAGTAGTGCAGTGTCTAGGCAGATTAAATTCTTAGAAGGGTGCTGGTCAGCCAGAGATCACAGATGTGCAAAAGTTGGCTTAAAAAAAATTCAGTGTCCCATAATTGGATTCTCTGCTGCAACAAACTCTACCGTGTGCCACTGTCTGCCATTTGCCTATGCCTATCCTAGACTGCTCTTCTAAATTTCCTGTGGCAGTAGCTTTAAGTCCCGGTCTCACCCAACATTGGACTTCCTTCATTTGTGAGTGGAATTTGCAAGTGTAAAGGTGTCCTGTACTGTTTGTTTCTGAGGCATTGTTTCAAGTAAAATGGCATTTTTTTTTGAGACTGAGTCTTGCTCTGTTGCCAGGCTAGAGTGCAATTGTGCGATCTTGGCACACTATAATCTTCTATTCCCTCGTTCAAGTGATTCTCCTGCCTCAGCCTCCCAAGTAGCTGAGACTACAGGCATGTGCCACCACACCCAGCTAATTGGTGTATTTTTTGTAGAAACGGGGTTTCACCATGTTGGTCAGGATGGGGGAAATTACTTTCTATTAGAATTCTGAATAATGTGTACATAATTTTTATAATGTGAAGGAAAAGGCAGGGTGTGGTGGCTCATGCCTGTAATCCCAGCACTTGGGGAGGCCGAGGTAGGCAGATCTGCTGAGGTAGGTGGATCACAAGGTCAGGAGTTTGAGACCAGCCTGACAAACATGGTGAAACCCAATCTCTACTAAAAAAAAATACAAAAATTAGCTGGGGGTAGGGGCACACACCTATAATGCCAGCTACTTGGGAGGCTGAGACAGGAGAATCACTTGAACCCAGGAAGCAGAGGTTGTAGTGAGCCAAGATGGCACCACTGCACTCCAACCTGAGCGACAGAGCAAGACTCTGTCTCTAAATAAATAAATAAATGAATAAAGTGAAGGAAAAATGTCAAGCATTTCACTAACAAATGAAAGCAAACCTCACAAGACTCTGCCAGAAGGGAATTCCAAGAACACTTTCTTCATCATTTCCTTTGAGCTCACAAATCTATAGGTTGGTGATTTAGCCTAGGCAGCTTTTCAGGTCTCAGCTGGGCTCATTCATGGGACTGGGGAACAGCTGGCTATCAGCTGGTGCTTCACAGGTCTGGAGATTGGCTGGGGTGACTTAGTTTTGCTCCACATGTCTCCCTCCAGCAGGCTGGCCCTGGCATGTTCTCATGGTAAAGGCAGAGCTTCTATTGGAGTACTTGTCTCCTGGTACTTTTTTTTCCTAAGCTTCCAACATAGGTTTCTTTAGTGTGCTTCCCAAGTCGGCTTCACAATTTCTCCACAAGATTTCAGTCATTTTACATGAAGTAGAGCAACAGTATTGCAGACCCTCTTCTTGGCCACAGAAAGTCACCAGATTAAGGAAGGGAAGAAGGGGAGAGGAAGGCAGTAGGGGCCACTGGTCTTGGTAAAGCACAAATAGTAACTGGAAAGCACCAACCGCAGAGAAGGCAGAAGAGCAGCTTCAGGGCGAACACTCCAGGCTCCAGAGAAAAGCAGATGCCGATGCCAGTCCTGGCTTCTCTACTCACCATGGGCAAGTTATTTATCTCACAGCCTCAGATTCCTTGGAGGTGAAATGGGATAATGCTTTAAGGCTGTTGTGAAGATCAGATACAAACATGGAACTTGGCACATCAGCTGTTGCACAGGTACTCAACGAAATGATTATACTAGGACTTAGGTGAGGGAATACTATGGGCTTTAAAAGAAATCCCAGCCTGAGGCTTATACTGCTGGCATGGGGACAAGGACAGAGACAGACATTTCCCTTGACTTTTCACTTTCAGAAGTCCACAGGCAACTTATCCTAGTCTTCTGACTCCGATACCACTACCCTACCTCAAATCCTGGATGTGGGCACTGTATTCTCCCTACAGCTGTGGAGCTCTCAGTTCCCCAGGCTGGTTCCCCAGGCTGGATCCAGCCAAGAAATGCCCGTGCTACATCAAACATCTGTGGCTTCTGGGCAGTGAGTGCTCTGGAGTCCACTGGTCCTTGCCTGGGTCCTATGCTGGGAGGCAGAGGTGTCAGTGATTCCAGCTACTGGGATGCCTGGTGGCTGGCCTGGGACCAGGAGCATTCCAGCCAAGTGTCGCCATCACTAGTGGCCCCACAGGTGGCCTTTTAGCTCCTCACCTGGGGCCCTAGACACAGGCAGAGAGCATGGTGCCCAACCCCAAGCATGTAGTCTCATAGTGAATTATTGAAACAGCAACAAGATAGATAAATTGTCCCACCAGTCCTTTACATAGGTTCTTTCCAACAGCTTTGGAGAATGTGGGTGTCTCCTTATCCTCATTTGCATAAGACATCATTCATGTTGAACAGTTTAGACAGTATGTACAACAGGAATGGGTTTAGTGAACAGAGAGATTCCCAGGATAGCCCAGATGGATACAAAAATGAAAAAGACAAAAATGACAAAGTTCAGATAGTGCACTCTGCTTATTAATTTATGAGAGTCACCAAATGCCAACCAGTTTTCTTTTCTATAGTTGAACTCTGTGATCCTATGAATAAGGCTGACCACAAGTCCAGTGAGTGGAGCCTGCTGTTAATTGACTCTTACAGTAGATGGCAAGGAGGAAAACATCTATACTTGGAGTCCCAAGGTAATGAGCAAATTATTCTATGTAACAGAAGAGTGGCCCATTTGGAGATAACTGTACTAATGGGACCCATATGATGCAAATGAGAGTTATCAGGATGAGAAATAACTTTCTAGCTGTAAGGAGCTCCATCTTTCCGTCACTCTGGTGTCTGCTCAGAGACCTTGGTGTAGAGGTTGCACCCTGAAGAGAGTGCTGGTGATGTGAAGGTGGTCAGGGAGCTGGAGAGTCCTTCTCATTGCTTATCCTCTTCAGAATCCACTTACTTTCCCCTGAAGTTGATATATTGCCAGCATCTTCTTTTCAGATCTGCAGAACATGCAGAATGAGGTCATTGTGTACATGGTCCTTATGGGAAGCTGAAGAGTCATCCTCATTGCTGCTGAGATTTTCCAGAATCCACTCAAGATTATGTGAAGTTGACATATGGGAACCATCTTCGTCCTCATCCATTGACTTGCCAGATGTTATGCTGAGAACTTCAGGAGCAGCTGAAGAGTCTTCATCCTTATAGTTGCCTTCATAAATGATGTCCAGAGGAGACGTGTATTCTATGTTTTTGAGGCTGTCTTGGTCTTCCATGGGGCTTTCTCCAATGCCCTGCAACAAGGAAACTGCTTCAGTATGTTCTCAACAGAAAGATTTTCATTTGCTTTTGAGTCCACCGTGACCACAGATGAGGCCTCCTTTTCTGACCTGTCACTTGGAAAATCCTATACCTGATCTTCATTGGAAGTTTCAATGAATTATTCCTTAGCATGTACTCTGTTATGTGGCCAGATGGTTTTGACCCACTGGCAGGGCAGGCAGCATATCTTCTGGACCACTGAGGATACGTTTCTCACAGATGCAACTATCTGGGGTTGGTGTCACAGGTTGTAGAGGAATTTACCAAGACAGTTGTAGGTAAAGAAAGGCAGATTTATTAAAGAAAGTATGAAAATATGTTGCAAAATTGCAATAGGCAGTACAGCAGAGAAGGGGCTATCTGCAAAGAGGCAGGGGTGGAAGGGAAGTTTTATAGGGTTGTACTGCATAGGGCTGTGTACAGAATGAGGCTATTGTGTGGAATGAGGTCATCTCTCAGAACAATTGTTTATTATTCTTCCCTACCTGGGGCCTTTCCCTACCTGAGGCCTCTTCCTCATTGTTGCTTACTTATCAGGAATCGACATTCCCCCATGAGAGAATAGCAATGACAGATTTTTGGCATTGGAGTAGAGGTCTCATGTTTCAACTGCTTCCTGTTGACCAGGGGCATAGAGTTAACCCTACCTGTGGTTGTTGGCCTATCAGGAAACCCTGTGAGCCATTGCCCTGGGTTGTGGGACCTAGGATATTGGATCATGCTGGAGGAAGGCATTCATCAGAGAGGGGGAGCATGTCTAGGCAAAGCTGGCTTCCAGCTGAATGGGAGACGACTAAAGGTAGCAGGCATCATTGAGGAGAGACTGATATCCTGTTCATAGCACCATTTGAAGGTGAAACTACTGAATTCTAGAAGATAAAATTTTTGTTTCTTGAGCCAGTTACCAAAAAGGCAAAGAAAAAACTTTTGGAGTCTAACTGTTTTTCCTTATTGGAAGCCCATTTAGATAACCTGGAAGTTAAACTTGATGAAAAAAAATTCTTAAATTTGATTAGATACAGCATAGGGAACCAATTTTAGAGAGGCTTTTATTCTTGATTACGTATAATGTTCCTTTTATGAATTTCCTTTCATGAATTTTCTCATGATTTACACAGACCATCTACAATATGCCCAGAATTTCTGACGTGTCCTAAGCATCCCTCTTTCTTAAACAAGCAGTCATTTTACTTTAGGACAAGAATTTACCGTACAAAATCCTTTCTCATGTAAAATCTTTATAACCTTCATTACTAAAAATACCTCTTTACCTTTATAACTTTATGTTTTTCTTGTTTTCTGGTTCCTTTTATCTTGTTTTATATATAACCATTAAATAACCTTTGAATGAGACAAAAGTTATTTTCCTTTTGTTAGGGATTTATGGTTTATACTGCGTGTTGCTGTGTGAGTTCTTTGGAAGGGAAGCAAATGAGGAGGTTATTTACATATTGTAGAAGTTGTTCCATCAAGAGATTATTCAGTTGGCTTTCTTGCTAGGGCTTGTCTGAATAAGTATGGACTATTTTAAATGCCTGAGATAGGACTATTTAGGTTGAAGTTATTTAGTAAAGATTTAGGTAGCTTTCTCAGGAGAAATAGGGCTATCAGAGGAAAAGATGAATTCAGAGGTTGAGTAAATATTAAGCAGGGACCCATCTTGGAAAGAATGTTTTTGCCCCAAAGAGATGTGGGGTATTTAGATGTTACCAGAGCATGGAGGGAAAATAGTAATTGATCCCTTAAGTAGTATAAAGGGTGTGGACTTTTCTTTTGGAGGGAGAGGGTGCCACCTGTTTCCATTACCTAACAGGATTTGGAGGAGAGTTGCTTAGAGAAGGAGATTAGTACAGAGTCACTGTGAGTCATTTAGCCAAAATGATAAGTCCAGAATTTTTAAAAGGCAACAATCTTTACTTGCTGATAGAGGGGAGACTCAACTTTCAAAACAGGCTGCAATAAAGATAGCACGAGGACAGCTGAATCTGTCTCCTTTTTCTTCCCTCCTTTTTCTGTCATTCATTTAAAAGGCAAACAAAATTATTTCACTTTCTTTTTATATTACATGAAAATCTCGCTTAAAAGAGAAAGTCAAATGGCACCTTTGTACTAGTTTCTATTAATGTTAAGTCCAATTCATAATAAAATCATATATATAAATCTATCCAATCTTTATTAGCTTGACCATAAGGTAAGATTTCCATAAACCTCTTATAACCCTTTATCGTCTTCTGTTAAGCAGCAGATCAATGATCTAAGAAAACTATTATTCAGACACATGGCCCAGATTTTGGACCTGCGTTAGTGTGCTTTTATTTCAGTGTTCAGCCGATGGGGAAACTAAACAATCCTCTTCAAATCTTAGCCAGCTTTTTTATATCCAAAGAACTTTTTACCAGATCAGCCTTACACAACTTACTTTTTTACTTGCTTAAACCTTCAGCTTTATCCCATTACTCCTGTAGATTAGGCCAATCCTTAAAATCCTCTGAGCAAGACAAAATTACATTTCCTTTAACAAAAGCCACATTTCCATGCCTCCTTATAACCTCCCACCAAAACCACATTCTACTTTCCTTCTACACCTTGAATGTAAACTGTTTCTCCAGTAGTCTCAAGCACATGTTTCAATGTTAACTCTCAGAAACTTTTATTTTTGGTGAAAAACCTGATGAATGATTTTAACCATATATAAAAGATTGCAGAGTTCAGGACAAGGACAGAGAAGAAGATAATGTCTGACTCTTCCCAGCCTAGCCATGGGATCAGGCTAACTCCATGTCCCCAGGCCTTACCTGGAATCTAATGGCTATAAAACAAGCCAATTATTAAAAGTCATAGAAACAGTTTATAGCCTTAAAGCATCGGGCAAACAGTATCTGACTGCCTAATTTGGTTTAAATGTATAAACTTTGAAGACATCTTTTACTTTACCAATAATTTTTAAACTCTTTTTAAAGATTATTAGTCATGTGACCTAAAAGGCATTAAAGTTTTAATTTTTCTGACAATATGTTCAAGGGCTTATTTTTCTTTAAGCCAATTAGAACTCTGTATATAAACATCATACACACAGCACATATAAAATACACAGACAGAAATGGAGAATTAAGACAACATTCCATCAACTGAGAAGTTTTTAGAGAGAAAGCAGGGGCTTTAAAAACCAATGTCTGTACACATACAGCCCAAATATAAGCTTAAAGTTGATTTCTAACTACAGAGCTTTTAAAAGAATAATCTTTTAAAAATCTTTTATTACCAGATTTTAGTCAGGAGAAATGACTAGTATTTCCAGCTTTTGAATCTTTTACTAACGGTAATTAAGTCTATGATATCAATAAACCTTAACTAAGAGGATGACTTAAACAGAGACACATAAGCTGTCTCCAAAGAGATGGTCAATGATTTACAGGATCTAGAATTGCCCCAAAGGTAATCTGATAAAAGAAAATTTCAAGACAGGAAATCAGAAGCCGTTCATAGAGGGGAAAAGAATCAATAAATGGCAAAAATACCACTAGTATTAAATCACAAAGGACTCACTTTGAAAGATAAGAATTGAATGCAGGCCACCATTGTGAGAGGGCAAAGCCTTAGCCACTGGTCTACAGCACAAGGTGACTGCTGTTTTTTCCAGGAGGAGTTTTGAGCATTTTCAAGCTTGCAAAGGATTTTAACTACTCAAGATAATTTTCTAAGACTAGCCATGTTTTTATTATGCATCCTTCTTTCAATTTAACCTTTTTCTTTTATTGGTCTACCCAGTTCCAATGGTGACCCAATCTAAAAGGCTGTTAACATCCAGATAGTAATTTTCCAGGTTTTTACCATATAAGCAAAAGGTTATTTTCAGAACGGGGTAGAAGAGGCATCTCCGTGATAGGCAACTCTTTAACTCAGAGGGGAAATTTATAATTTTACTTGCTGCCTCCAGAGTTGCCCTTGGCTTTGTTTTGTTGATAATGGTGTTTGATTTGGAAGCCAGCTGGGGCAGAGACCCCTACCCCAGCAGAAGGCTATCAGGGGTGTCTGATGGGATTCTGTCCTGGGGCCCCTTCAGCCCTCAGGGCAGTCCCATTTCCAGTGGCCAAGCTTGTGGCAGAGGGGGCAAACCAGAGGATTTTCCCCATTTATCCCACTGGGGCAGTTTGCCTTCCAGTGGCCTGGCCTTCTGCACTGATCGCAGTTACCTGGAGGATATTCTGAGGGCAACCTAGATAGGGCTGGGGTCTCATAAAACAGTCAGCAGTTAAGTCTACCTTCTCTCCCTGTGTTTTCTGTGCTTTTCTTTTTCCTTAGCCCTGTCCTTTTTATTCTGCTCTCAGTTATAAGAGACTGAGGAGACTAATTTGAGGATTTCCTGCATGGGGGCCATGCTATTAAGATATTACACAAGAAAATTAGATGTGCCCTATTTTCTCTGCACCTCTGAGCCCGCTGTCTGTCCGGCTTTTTTAAGTTTTAATTTCCAGGACTTGAACTTGCTGCCATGTTCTCTGAAGAAGCAAAGCTTTTCGTGCAAGGGTGCAACTTTAACACCAATGAGCAGGTGCTAGAAGACCACTTTAGCAGCTTCAGGCCTATCTCTGAGGTGGTCGCTGTGAAGGAGACTCAGTGGTCCAGGGGTTTTGGTTTCATCACCTTCATCACCTTTTAGTAATGATGGGGTTTCACTATGTTGGCCAG